TGTTGATTTTATATGTAAAGGATTTTTCTTCTATCACTGAACCTTTTAAGGGTTTTCTCATAGTAGTTTTGGGGAGTTTTTAATTAGATTTACATCTTCAGAATAACTTTGTGATGTCAGATTAGAAAGTCTGTGTCCAACCCTGGTGTTTGATCAGATGTTTGATCCCTGCAAGGTTGGATTTTTTTCTATGAATGTTGAATTTGTTGTATTTGATTTGAGTTAGATTTTTACTGATGAATGATTCATTGTAAAAAGTTGATCTACCAACAGTTTATTTCTTTGTTATTGTGATTAAAATGTCAAACAAATATATTTTCCACTTTTTGTGTGACAGATGCAGGAATTTCTCTGTCCTGCATGTGGTGAAATCTGCTGTTAAATCAGAACATTAACAGGTTTCAGGTTGTATTCAAACATATATTACTGTGTATCATGTGTCAGCAGGCATGTGTTAACAGGGACTATAAGACACTTTAGTGGCTTTAATGCATATTTATATGTTTAACACAGTAAGGTGCACAGGTTCTTTATACTAAAAAGAGGGAGGAGATGTGCTTCCAAGATTTATTATCCAGACAGGGAAAGCAACTTCACATTCAACCATACAGGGAAGAGGAGTTCAGGACTGAGGCTTACCAGCAGGTGAGAATGGTCAACACAAGGGGAAGGCGGATCCATCAAATAAATAAATAAATAAGTAAAAATAGATCAACAGTAACACTGTTTCGTCTTCCATGGACTCTGTATCGCCTGAATCAGATAACTCCGCTACTGTGTGTTTGAACTCTAAAGACATTATTCAGAGTGACACCTCGGTGTCAAGTTGAAACTGTCTTTGGCACCATTAACCTAGTTTGCCCAGTGACTGTTACTGCTCCTGAGCTCCGCTCTCCACTTCCAGTTCCTGTTTCCAGGGCAGCTCGGGCCCAGCTTTCCCTTGCACCTTTACCAGTTCCTCGGGTGGGGGTGGCTGAGGTCCAGCTGGTCCCTGCTTCAGTTGCCAGGCTAACTGAGGCTGTATTCATCCCTGCACCCGTACCTGCTCCTTGGGTGAGGATGGCGGACACCCAGTTATTGCCAATGCCTGTTCCGGTTCTCCGGATGAAGGCAACTGTGACCCGTTTCAGTTCCCTTGGTGGGAGCAGAAGAGGTCCAGCTAGCTGCTGCGCCTACACGGGCTCCCAGGGTAAAGACAGGAAGAATCCAGCTCGTCCCTGCGCCCGTATCTGTTCCTCGGGTGGGGATGGCTGGTGTTCGGCCAGGCCCAGTGCTTTCTGACAAAGCTCAGACAGACTGTTAGCACTGTACGTGCCCTGTGCAGCTACAGTTAGCTTCGCCTCAGCTGGACTTTTCTGCACCTGCTGGCTCTGCATTCGACTCTGCTGGGGGTTCAGGAGAACTGCTCCGGCACCTCCTCGTCTCCGCTGGCGGCTCTGGTGA